ATAACTTTGAAATGTTAAAAAAAAAGATGTCACTTTGAAGACTAAGGAACACCTGACTTAAGCCAAGTCATGTTATTTTTAGCTACTTCTTGTGTGTGGAAGCTGGACAATGGCTATAGAGACCAAAAGAACAACTGATGCATTTGGATTATAGAGTTGATGACAAATATTGAATATATCATGACAAGAGATGAACAAATAAATTTGTCATGGAAAATTTTCATCCAGAATGCTCTTTAGAAGGGAGGACATTGCCTTATTTACATTGGTCATGTTACAGGAGGGACCAATCCAAACATGATAAGGACATCATGTTTGTTAAAGAAAAGAGTCAGTAAAAAAAGAAGAGCCTCCACAAGACAGACTGATACAGTGGCTGCAAAAATAGGCTCAGGAGTAGCAACTGTGAATGTGGCATAAGATTAGAGAGTGTTTTTTTTTATTCAGTTGTGCACAGGGTGGATGAATCAGATCCAATATCATAGCATTTAATAATGTGTGTGTGTGTGTGTGTGTCTATATATATGTATACATTTTTGTTGTTGCTGTTCTGTCATCAAGTCAACTTTATATAGTGACCCTAGGAACAACAGATCAAACCTTGCTCTTTTACCATTCTCATCATTATATGGCGAGGATAGGCTCGTATGCTTGAGCCCACTGTTACAATTACTCTGTCAATTAATTTTTTTAGGGTCTTCCTGTGTTTCTATACCTTTCCCAGTATGATATCTTTTTTCCAAGGACTGGCCCTTCCTGACAACATGCTCAAAGTATGAGACAAAAGTTTTACTATCCTTGCCTTTAAGGAGAACTCTGCTTATACTTCCTCCAGATAGACTTGTTCTTTTTGCCATCCAAGAGATATCTGGCACTCTTCTCCAACACCACAATTCAAAAGCATGAATTCTTCTTCTGTCATCTTTATTAATTTTCCAACTTTCAGATTCACAGGAAGTAAATGAAAAACCATGTCTTGGATTGGGTGCATCCTAGTCTTTAAACTGATATCCTTGCTCCTCAACACTGTAGAAATTCTTGACAGCAGATTTTCCCAGTGCAACATGTGTTTTGCATTGTTGACTGCTACTACCATGAGTGTTGATTGTGGATCCAAGCACAAGGAAATTGTTGACAATATTTTCTACATCTATCATGTTGTCTATTGGCTCATTGGTGAGGATTTTGCTTTCTTGATGTTTAGATGTAATCCATATTCAAGACTGTAGTGTTTGATCTTCTGCAGCAAATATTTTAACACCTCTTCACTGTGAGGAAGCAAGTTATGTCATTTGCCTAACAGAGGCTGTGTATGAGTATTCCTCCAATCCTGACACACACACTTGCCCAAGGACAAAATTTAGAAAGCGTGAAGGTTAGGAAAGATGGGCAAATTAAAATAGGAAACACAGGAAAGACCTGTAATAGATGATATTACATTGTAGAGATGGCAGTCAATGTCACAAGAAACAAAATGTGTACTATTGAATGGAAAACTGATTTGCTTTGTAAACCTTTAGCCAATTCAAAATACAAAATAAAAAACCAAAACCATTTAAATTTTAAATGGCAGAACAGCATAAAAGCAAGAGATTTTTAGAATCAATACATCCAAGTTTCTCATTTTTCAGATAATGAAACTGCAGGTCTGATGAGTTTAGCTGGTAAATGCCACACAGTTGTTAGTGGAAAAGCTAAACACACCTTGGTACTGTCTTTGCTCCTCTATACGCATTACATCATTCACAAAGGGTATCCACTTAGATGGATATTATTTTCTTTGACCTTCACCAAAGCTAGATGTTTCCATAGATAAGAAAACTGAAAGTCTTGAAAGACTGCCTAATTGTTGTTGTTGTTAGGTGCCATTGAGTACAACTCATAGTGACCCTATGAACAAAAGATCTACTTAGTCCTGTCCTGTACCATCCTCACACTTCCTGACACACAAGAGCCCACTGCAGCCGTCACTGTGTCAATCTACCTGGTTGAAGGTCTTCCTTTCCTTTGCCCACCCTCCATCCTTCCCTCTCCAAGGAATAGCACCTCCTAGCAATAGGTCCAAAGTATGTGAGGCAAAGCCTCATCACTCCTGCCTCTAAAAAGCATTTCAGCTGCACCCTCTCCAAGATATATCTATTCATTTTCTTGGCTGTCCATGGCATGTTCAGTACTCTTCACCAACACCGCAGCTCAAAGGCATCAATTCTTTTTCTGTCATCCCTATTCCTTGTCCAGGTCTTGGATGTACAGCTAGTAATCAGAAAGACCATGGCCTGAATCAGATGCACCTTAGTCCTCAAACTGACATCACTACTCCTCAATAATTTGGAAAGGTTCCTAACTATAGATTTTCCCAGTGCAATGCATTTCCTTATTTCCTGACTGCTCGTACCAAAGGTGTTAATTATGGATCCAAGCAAGATGAAGCTGTTGACAGTTTCAATCTTCTCTCCACCCATCATGATACTGCCTATTGGTGCAGTGATAAGAATCTTTGCTTTCTTGATATTGAGGTTCAATCCCTACTGAATGCTCCATTTCTTGATCTTCTGCAACAAGTGCTTCAAATACTCCTCACTTTCAGCAAGTAAGGTTGTGTCATCTGCATAACGCAGGTTATCAATGAGTCTCTCTCCAATCCTGATGCCACATTCCTCTTCACAGAGTCCAGCTTTTCGGATAATTTGCTCAGCATATAGACTGAACAGGTATGGAGATATATCTTTGATGCACTCCCTTCCCAATTCCAAACCACGCAGTGTCCCCTGCTCCATTCTCACAACAGCTTCCTGCTCAAGGTATAGGTTCCTCAAACACATTTAAGCCTCATGTCGCAATGTTGAAAAATGCTATGGACAATATACTGAATGACCCAAAAAGAAGATGGGAGGGAATACACAAAGTACCAGAAAGAATTGATTGACACTGAAAAATTTCAGAAAGTACCATATGAACAGGAGCCAATGGTAATCAAAGAGGAAATGGAAGCTGCATTGAAGGCATTGGCAAAGAACAGGTCCCCAGGAATCAATGGGATAGTAATTTACTTGTTTCAATTAACAGATGCAGCCTTGGATGCACTCACCAGTCTATGCCAGGAAATCTGGAGGACGGCTGTCTGGCCAAAAGATTAAAAGAGGTCCATATTTGTTCCTGTTCCAAAAAATATCATTGATATCACATGCAAGCAAAATACTGCTGAAGATCATTCATATAGAGATCTGCCAGAAGTTCAAGTGGGATTTAGAAGAGGCCACTGGCATCAGGGATGTCAGATGGATCCTTGTTCCTGTTCCCCAATCCTGGCTGAAAGTAAGGAATACCAGAAAAAATTCTTTTTGTGCTTTATTGACTATGCAAAGGCATTTGACTGTATGGATCATGACAAGTTGTGGCTGACATTGAGAAGAATGGGAATTCCAGAGCTCCTGACTGCTTTATTACTTAGATAATAACTGTAAATTAATTTCAAATTCCATGCCCTACTCAGCACACTACAGTACTTGCCAAACTCTTCCTGACAACATAGGTGGTGGGTGTCTGACTCTAGTGCCTGGTCAACAAGAACAGTGCTTAACAATCAGCAGGAATTTAAAAAAAAAAAATCTCAAAAAACTGGCTGAGTGACCAAATACTCAACAATCTGGAAAAGCCAAGCAGTTTTTGGCAGTCTGCTTTTGGTAGTCCATGATCTCTTCAATACTCTTCAACAACACACAATTCAAATACTACAGACTGCCAAAAGAACAAACAAATCTATCTCTGAAGAAGTATAACTAGTGTGCTCCTTTCAGGCAAGGATGATAAAACTTTGTCTCACATACTTTGGGCATGGTGTCAGAGAGGATTAATCCTAGGAAAAAGATATGCTGGGAAAGGCAGGAGGTCAGTGAAAGATAGGAAGACTCTCAAGGAGATGGATTGACACAGTGACTGCAACAATGGACCTGAACATGGCAGAGATTGTGAGGATGGTGCAAGGGAGGGCAAGGTTCTGTTACGTTGTTCATATGATCACTATGAGTTGTAGTTGACGGGAAGGGACCTAAATACAAGCAGCAAATTGTATTTCATCATCAAGATGCTATAAGGCTTTTGAGAAGGAAGATGTGGAAATCCCCACCGAATCAAAAGGCAGAACATCACATGAGAGTCACAGACTTTCTTGGCCTCCCAAGTCTCCATCACTTTTGCCTCAATTACCCAGAGCAGCCTGACCAGACTGCCTCCAATCTCTTCCCAAGTCTCCTCAGTCACCACCTCAGCAATGTTCAGGGGCTCCCTGTCTTTTAAGGCCCTGCCAACCGAATGACTTACTTAGTCTGGCTTTTACATGGTATTTACCCCCTCATCTATAGAAGCTCATCTCCTCTTTGTGGTAGGCTCCCAGTGGATGGTGGTCCCCTTTTCTTACTTCCATCAACCCCAGGTGAAGAGAACAGTGGTTAACTATTGAAAGGAAAATGAATTGAAAGTAGCTTCATTTGGGAAGGAGAAAAATGTGATCACCAAAATCACTAGAAACTGGTATAATCAATAAAGAACCCCATATCTAGGAGCTTCTGATTTGAGGTATTCTGGTATAGAGATATATAGGTTCCCATGCAGTCCCTAGAGAGGGACCCTAGGGGCTTAGTGGTAAACAATTACACTGACAATGCAAAGATATGCAGTTCAAATCTACCAGTTGTTCTAAAGAAGAAAGACAGGCAATCTCTTCCCATGTGATTTACAACCTCTGAAAACTTCCAGGAGGGTCAGGTAGGGGTCAGTTCCAACTAGAAAGTACATAACAACACTAGTCCCTTGAGAGGAACTCTGGTGGCCTAGTGAACAAGGAGTTGTGTTGTTAACCCAAAGATAATTGGTTCAAATGAAGATGAGAAAATTCCTCCACTGTCCTTTACAGCCTCTGAAAACCTCCCAGAGTAGGTTCAGACTCAGGGACACACAAGAACTGGCATTCCTAACGTTGTCACTGTGGGCTGGGCTTTCAGGACTACATCTTCCAGCTCTACCTCAGACCTTTCTACAGCAGTCAAGATCCTTTAGATTTATTCTCAAGCACCTACGTGCAAAAAAAGAAGTACCAGGGGCAGGAAAAGGCTGTAAAACTGCTTTTTCATGACAAAAACATCTTCCCAGTTCCAGAAGTTTTTCCCAACAAAGTTCTTATCAGATAAAAGACCCTTCTGGCAGGAACACCGTAAACTCATTATATACACACCTTGGACCTCCTCCTAGTTTAGTACACACACCATCACCTCGAAAAGAGCTCTTACTGTTCTTAGTTGTACCTCTCAGTTGTTTAACCCAGTCAGTTAAGTAGTTTAACCATAGTTGCTTAAACCAGTTAGTTCCCTAGGACGGAGAGAGTTGTTTGCAATTTTCCACCAGTATGTGCAGTTCTGTGAAGGGAACTCTTGGCTGAGTGGTTATTTCTCAAGTCAGATTCCTAGAGGTGGAATTACCGGCTTAGAGAATGCAGCCATTTAAAATTCTCACACTAGTCAGCTGAGAAACTCTAATTGTATTAAGACTTCACCTGGAGAATTTGTTTACATACCACCAGCCTTCTTCCCACCCCCCCAGTTCCCTCCAGGAAGTCTTGGGAGGGGCTCAGGAGCCCCTTTGCTTTGTTATCCAGCTACCAGGTGGCAGAGGGCCTGCAGCACTGGCTGGGGCAACCTCTCCCTTGACTTCCAGCACACCTTACCTATCACAAAGCTGGCTGATTCAGTGCATTGTTCTCTGGGTCCCCCAAATGAACCAACTCCCTTCAGCACGATGTATGACACAGAGATGAAGCTCGGCAGCCAGTGAAAGAGTCCCAGCTCCAGGCTCACCAAGCTGCACACTTATTTTCCTCTTCAGATCTCCCTTCTCAAGGTCCCCGCTCTACACATCCTCTGTGATCACAGTGACCCAAGAACCAGTTAGTCTTACCTAGGACTCGTCTCCCAGGGGTTATTTTTCTCCCTAAAGGGAAGAGGAAAAAAAAGAGTTATTACTCTGCTAGAATTTCCAGGGGCTTCCACTCCGGGACTGCTCCCCTATTTGTAAAATGGTCCGTGTCAATGACGTCGGATGCTGCTCTAAGTTATATGGTCAAAAGGTTCTAAGAGTTTGCAGGGACTTTCAGCTTCTATGAGGATCTTTCCCAGAGGAAGACCTCACAAAAAAACTTGTATCCAAGTTTTTGTACCAATCACTGAAGCCAAAGACGAAGGCATTAAGGATGTGGAGTAACATCGACCGTCTGAAACGGAACAAATGCGCAATCAAGTGGCCTTTATCTAATCAGCGTTGGCTGGCTCAGGGTCTGTCAGGATTGAACTCTGGTTCTGGTTCCCAGAGAGCTCCATGGCGACACAGTGCCAGAAACTCAGAAGCCATTTTCAAAGTTGTTGGTTTGCACGCTCAAGGGCCTAGAGGAGGAAATCTGGGCCCAGACAACGTTCGGCCTCTTTCTGACGTTTCACACCCCGGGGGCTGCCTTGGCGTGGTGGGGGACTTAGGGCAGTTCGGTCAGTTGGTTGGGCGAAAGCTGAGAAGCAAGCCGTCCCACGGAAAACGGCCTGGAGTTGGACGTGAAGGCCGCGAAGGGAGGTTCCAATCGCCTCCTTCAAGGGTCCAATGGCGCGTGCATCCGCAGTGTTGACAAAGGACAAGCGAAGCCCCCTCTCGGCGGCTCCAGGGTGATTTACATAGAACAGCACCACCCCTTACTCCAAGATTAAATGAGGTGCTACCCAGGAAAAGTCCCTCCCTCGCACCCTCAAGCACTCGTCAAACCCCGACTCCTCATCACCTCAGGCCGCCGCCTGTGGCTACATCTCGGGGAAGGTGCTTGGGAGTCACGTCTGGGCCTTTCACAATTGCACGCCCTAGAAGGCCGAACTGGCCTTTCATTTGGAACCTGTCTGAGACTAAAATCAATGAGGGGGAACAAGGCTTCAGTTTCCTTTCGGTGCAAGAGAACAGTGCCACGACCGACCGGAGATCCTGACAGTGGGAGCGAACTCACAAACGTCAGGATTTGCACGGTTTTTCCTCTCAGCAGGCGCCTCCCCCCAACCCAACACCCCGCAACGTGGAGCACACAGTAGGCGATCCGGAAATGGAGGCGCGAGGCCACTTCCTGCCCCCAAGCCAACCACGCCGGGGCCGGCTCCCACCACTCCTCCACCACCGCCATGTGGCATTCCTGAGGGTGGGGGTGGGCGCGGGAAGATGGTGCCCGCGCGGCCCCGCCCCCTCCGCACGCGGTGGGCGGGGCCAAGACCCTCGGCGCCGTCGGCCCGCCCCGGGGTGGGGGGTGGGCGTAGCTCGCGGCGCTCCTCACAAAGTTTGTTTTCTCCCTCCGGGCCGGTGGGGGAGGGCGGCGAGCGTGCCGGGGAGGAGAGGGGATCTGACGTCAGGCCGCGAGGTGCTTTCCAGCCCCGAGCTGTCAGGCCGAGTGTCAGGCCGGGCAGGTACGCGGCGCGCTCCCCGGGCCCCCCGTCCCCTGCCGGGCCCCCGGACCGAGCCGGAGGCCGCGTGGACCGGAAAGTCGCTGGGAAAAGTCAGTGCGGGGCGCAGGCGAAGGGAGAGGGGCGCTCGGACAACTTGGAAAGTTTCTTTTCCTCCGCCGGGCGGGGGAGGGGGCGTCGTCCCAGCGTGTGCGATTGTGGGTGTGTGAGCTCGAGTGTGTTTGTGAGTTCTGACTGCTTGGTGCTGACGGAGGGCGGTCTGGGGTCTAGTCCATCGCGGAGAAGCTCGCTCGAGAGCCTTTTTTTGGGGGGGGGTCTCGGTTCCTCAGGATCCCACCCCGCGAGAGGGCCGCCTGTGCCCCGGCCCGGGTGAGCGCGCGGGGGGCGGGTTTGTTTGGTTTCAAAAGTGCACGTTGCTAACCGCCGGCTGGGCCCCCCCGGCGGCCGCGTCGGGGAGGGGGCCGCTGAGAGTGACAGCTGGGGTGGGGGCCGCGGGCAGGCCCCGGAGCGGGGGCGCTGGGGAGCCCGCGCGAGTTCCCGTTTCCTCTGAAACAAAGGAAAGTCTGTCTGCGAGGCATCTGTCACTCCCGGGCGGGCCAAGGGAGCGGGGCGCGTGGGGCCGGCGACCCGGAGAAAGTTTGTGCGCGGCGGGACCCTCGGGCAGGCCGCGAGCGAGCCGAGCCCCCGGCGGGCCCAGCGCCCAGTCCCTCGGGCCGGGGGCGGCCAACATGGAGTCTGGGCGCAGGGTTGGGGGGCGGCGCGGAGGTGGGAGCCCAGCCCCTCCCCTCCCCCTCCGGGCCGAGTTCGGAGCACAAAGCCAAGCGCGCACGCTCGGCCGTCCCCGCGCCCCGAAGTCAGCCAGCGCCGGGGAAGGGGGGTGGGAACCAAACTTTTTCCTGCCTGGGGACCGACACGTGAGTTTTCTTTCTTTGAGAGCCGGGGCCCCGCCGGCCTTGTGGGCCCGGAGTGGGGAGCTGAGGCGGGGGTCTGACTAGGGGCTGGGGGCCGGGGTGTGGGAGGGAAGCCCCCCGAGTGCAGGCGGACTCGGCCGCCCGGGGAGCCATGTGCTCCGGCTGGGTCCGGGCGCGGGGGAGGCTGAGCGCTTTGTGTGAACTGCTGGGAATGCGAGCGCGAGCGCGCGGCCGGGGGAGTGTCGGAGCCCGGCCGGGGGAGTTGTCAGAAAGTTGGTGCGGGAGCGGGCGCCTCGGGAGCGTGGAGGGGTGCTGTGCTGGGGGTGTCGCGGCCGGCCAGTGGGCGGTCAGGACCGACCGCTAGTGTGATGACGTCTGGCGCTGTCGCTGTCCGAGAGATCGTGGGTGGGCAGGTCGCTTGGAGTTCGTGGGTGGGCGGATATCCAGGAATTTTGTTAGTTGCGTGGGTCCCACTTGTTGGGGTGAGCCAAAGGATTGGCAAACCGTGTGTGTGTATGTATGTGTTTGGGTAAAATTCTGGGAGTTCCAGGGGTCACGCGGCGGGTCGGTGAAAGTTCTCTGAATGCCGTTTGTTATGTTTGTTGAAGGAGGGTGTGTGTGTGAGTGAGTGTGTGTGTGTGTGTGTGTGTGTGTATTGCAGGCCAGCCGAGGCGCAGCACGTCACGGTGGAGAGATTGTGTAGACCGAAGGGGTCATCCCCACGGCCAACCCCAGGAATCCTCTCGGCGAGGGCCTGGCTGACAGCCAGGGTGGAATTTGTACAGATAACCTTGAATAAACGTCTGGCCGCCTGCTAGGGCTGCATCCTGGAGCCCAAATCCCAGCTGGCCCGCCTGCCCCTAGATGTCTGCTCCTTGGAGAGATGTCTGCTCCTCGGAGAGCCGCCTGCCCTGAGCAGCCGCACCTATGAGTGGCTCCCAGATCACCTCTAGGTGGCCTGGCGTGGAGGGTAGACCCTTCCCTCGAAAGCCTGGCCAGCCGGCCCAGAGATCTGGGCTCTAGCCCAAGTTGAGGAAACAAAACCTGGGAGATGCCAGAGTCTGACTGGGGGAGCTGTTAAAAGGCTGAGGAGGGAGGAGCCTCGAGATTCTGGCATCTGTTTGGCCTGAAACTTTTGCTTTTAAAATGTAAATATATTTTGCTTGTGTGGACAGGAACTTTGTTGGGCAGTGAGCAGCTGAGCTGAATTTCCAGCTCTCTTCTTGTGACTTGCGAAGAAGGAAGGGTGAGGCTTAATTAAGTTCAGAGAAGGAAGAAACTGACTTGCCTCAGGGTCACTCAGCTCCGTGGAGGAATGGTGGTAGGCAGGAGACCAAAGAGAAGGTCAGGGGAAACAACCTGGAGGAACAATTTGTTACTACTATCTATGCAGCCTACACAGTAGGTGTCAGTAAATGTTTTATGAGTTGCTCCATGAACACCTGGGAAACAGTAGGGTGGTAGTGTTCAGTCTTTGGGGATAAACTGCATGATCTGGATCCTACTTTACTACCTTACTGTAGTTTGTATGTGCCATTATGTGGAGAGGGACTCTTTTGTAGCTGATTCTCCAGTGTTTTCAGAGGCTATAAATCTCATGGGGAGGAGATTTCCCAAAGAGTAACTGGTGGATTTGAACAGTGTGCCTATGGGTTTGCATGACAGTTTCTTACCACTAGGCCACTAGTGTTCTGTAGGATGTTTTTCTCTTTCAAAAAACAACTTTTCTAGTTCATGTTTTATACTAAGCACTCAAGTGTAAAGTTCAGTGGGTTTTTGTTTAGTCACAGTTATGTGCCCCAGTCAATTTGAAAATAATTTTCTTACCTAAAAAAAAAAAAAAAAAGCTCGGGTGGCCTAGTGAGTAAAGAATTGTGTCGCCAACCCAAGCACCTGGGTCAAATTCACAGGAGAAAGATGGATAGTTTCCTCCCAATTGATTTACAGTGACAGCATATAACCACCATGATGAAAAGAACAGTAACCTTTGGTTTTTATATCTTTATCTTTGTCTCCTCTATAGCCTCTTGTTCACCAGTCCTAAGCAACTCCAATCAACTTCCTCCAATTATAGGAATTCCTATAGATTATTCTGAATTTTTCATATGAATGAAATCATCCAGTCTTTTGTTGATTGTCTGATTTTACTTAATATTTTCAAGAGTTTATCCATGTGGTAACATATACAGTAGTGTGTGTGTGTGTGTGTGTGTGTGTGTGTGTGTGTGAAAGAGAGAATATCTAACTCCATTCCTTTTTATGACTAAGTAGAGTTGTAGGCTGCGGTTTCTGAAGGTCATGGCCTTAAGGCAGGCAGAGTGACCAGGCTTGTCAAATGAGGTGTCTCTGGATGGGTTTGAACTAGAAATCTTTTTGGTTAGTAATTGAGGACTTATGTCCACATGAGGTTGCCATAAATCAGAATGGCAATTGAGGGGTTTTTTAAAAACTATTACTATTTCACTATGCCAATATTTTGTGTAACCATTAATCAATCAATTAATGGGCATTTGAATTTGTTTACACTTTGTGACTTATGAATAATATTATGAACATTCATGTACAAGGTTTTACATGGATGTATGTTTTCATTTCTCCCATGTATACTCCTAGAAGAGCAATTGCAGGGTCATGGAGTAACTAAGGGCAGTTGGCTCTTGGACACTTCTTTGAGCTTATAAAATGATGACAATTTCTCCAGCACAAGGGCTTTGTGAGAATTAAATATGATATTAAATAGTGTTCAATTGAGAGCTTGGAGGTCATTAGACCTCAGTGGTCATTCTGATATTGCGTATTAATGAGCTGCCATTCATTCCGGTGGTTGACTACCTGGTCCTTAAAAGGGAGAGGTTGTCAAGTGTTCTTTGTCTCTTACCCAAGCCTGTGGTATGGTACTCCTCAACTTCTGGCCCAGACTCTACTAGTGTGTGAAGACCAGGAAAAGAGTGAGAGGCTGCCAGCGTGTGGTACTGATACTCCTCATCCCTTGTGTCACTTGCCCCAGGCTTGCTCCATACTCAGCCTTGTCCCAAGACACTTCCACCATGTCTGACAGTGATCTCGGTGAGGACGAAGGTCTCCTGTCTCTGGCGGGCAAGAGGAAGCGGAGAGGGAACCTGCCTAAGGAGTCTGTGAAAATCCTCCGGGACTGGCTGTATTTGCACCGCTACAATGCCTATCCTTCAGAACAGGAGAAACTGAGCCTCTCTGGGCAGACCAACCTTTCAGTGCTGCAGGTAAGGAAGGAGGCAGCAGGAGACCTCCTGGGTTCTAGTCTCTGGCTAGTGCTGTGAGGAAAGGTAAGAAGTTATTGAAAGTCTGGGATTTAACCCCTAGCCCTGGAGCTATGTTTGGGTGGGGCTTTGGTTGTACCTAGTAGAGCGTGCAGATAAGAAATGAGTTAGAATCATATTAAGGAAAGGAATTTGGAACTCCCGGGCTCTGAGTGGAAAATGTGGATCTGCCACATAGGAGCTGAGGGCAGGTCTACTCCCCAGTTTAAAGTGATGGTTAAAATCTTCTACCTGACTTGTTTGGAGGAAATGAGGAGTAGATTCAGAACTGGATGTGTGCTGTGTGAACCATGTACACTGGTGCTCAAAGATAATCAATATAATAAAGATAGTATTACCTTAATTTTTTTTTTTTTGGTTTGGCCATTACTGCTTATCTCCAGGTGTCTTTGCTCTGCTGTCATGATATTAAGGACATCTTGGTCTAATAGCCTTTGACTTCAGTTTGCCTCCCTTGGGAAGATAGAGGCCCTTAATCTAGCATTACAGGCCTCACCCATTGCTTCTCCTCTGAGCCAGCCAAGCCCCTTCCTCCTCCTGTGTTTGCATATCCCTTTACTCCACTGTGCGGTGCTTTTCCTCTCATTCCTTTACCTCAACTCCAGAATCCCCAAGGAGGGGATGTGCACGCATGTGCATGTATACGTATGTTTGCAGAGAGATTTAAGGGAAATTTTACAAAGCACATTGTTTTTTCACTTATACTTATCTTGTTTTATAACATTATTATTAAAATACTCATAATGTAATCACACTTTTCTCACTTCTGTAATTCTGATTTCCATTAATCTTTCTGTTCTACCCGAGTCCTCCATCTTCTAATCCCAGCTCCTATTCCTATTTATCAAAGCCTCATGGGCAATATTTGACTCTTCTTTTTAATTACTGGGCAGTGGGTAAATATATGGTATCTGAGGAAGGCTCTAGAGTCAGAGACTTTGACTCTGGTCATGTCTTCTCCACCAGAGGAAATCTGAACATTGGCCAACTCACTGCCTGCTTCCTGCTCCTCTTTCCTCATCTGAACAGGAAAAATGATTGTAACGATTTCATAGGATGTACAGAAGAGAGGCTGGGAAGAATTCAAGGCTAAATCAGTAGGTACTTCCATTCCGATATTCTGGTCTCTGCTATGTCATAAGGTCTTGATGTCTCATGACATCTAGATGGACCTTCTGAGTAATCCCTCCTACTGTACAGAGTTGGATTCCCAAAGAAGGACCAGACATACTCCTACCCTGAAGTAGTATCTAGTTTGTCGTGGGAATGGTGGCGCAGACCTTGTCACTGATCTTTGCAAAAAGTGATTATTGCTGGGAGACATTAGCAAATCAGGCAGGGTGCTGAGACAGTATAGAGCCTAAAAGGCAAGTGTGCCTAGTTCTGCAGTGCCTTTTCTGGTCTCCTTGCATCAAGTCTTGTTTCTTCAGACTTTATTACTTTAAATATTAGGGGCACTAAGGTGCTAATCTGAGTATGTTACATACTCCAGTGTCTTCAGGATACAGTACAAACTGTAGGAGTTTACTGTCTCATCATTAATTTCTGCAAGACCTTGAGTCTTTGAGCTCAGGGCCTTCAGGTCTTTTTTGCTACCCTTAACAAAAATTTAGTTTCTCCTAGTTTGGGAGGCTAGAAGTCTAAATTTTGTCAAGTCTGTGTCTTTTTCCTCTTGTTGTGTACCATCAAGTAGGATTGGACTTGCAAAGGAGAGGATTGCCCCTCCTTCTCCAGCAGAGCATCTGGTGAATTCAAACTGTACTCCTTCGGGATTGCAGCGCAGCTTCTTGCCACTAAGCCACCAGAGCTCCCTAAGTCTCTGTCATTTCTGAAGGAAGGGCCTTCCTTGCCTCTTTAGCTTCTGCTTTTTCATGTGTCTTTATATCTAACCCCATTTCTGCTTTTTTAATTAGCTCATTTTTTTTCTTTAATTAGCTCATTTTATAAGGCACACCTTACTCCCATATGACTTTATTAACACCACAAAGAAAACCCAGTTCCCATTGTGATTATAACCACAAGCCTGGAGGTTGGGTTTACAATACATATTTGAGGAAGGACACATTCTACCCTTTAGCTCCCTGAAATTCATGTCCTTCCTACATTGTAAAACACATTTACTGGATACCCGAAACTCATAAATTAGCTCTAAGTCTAAAAACTCGTCTTAAGCAGGAATGGCATCCACTTCCTAAATAACATGCCTCCGGAAACTCTGTGAACTTTGATATATGTTGGTAGTTGTAGAGGGACCTTCACGTCTTTTGTTCATAGGGTCACTGAGTCGGGCTCAACTCGAAGGCAATCAACAACAACAATCAAATAAGGTAAGATTCTGAGCATATTCCATCCTGGACAGAAGAATTCTTGCTCTGTGAACCTTTGAAATTTAGATCATAAATTGTTTCCAGTGATGGTGGAATGAACATCATAAGGTAGACATTTGCATCAGAAATGGGAGAAATTGGATAAAAAGAAGAGATGACGGCAACAAGCAAGTCTCAAGTCTAGCAGAACAAATTACTTTGGCTTTTAGGGCTTGAAAATAACCCTGCATTCTCTGAGACTCTCTGGGCAGTAGCCCGGCCATCTCTCTTCTGGGTAGAGGCCAGTCCTTGAGTGTCACCTCAGTCTTCCAAGCCTACTGAGTAGAGAGCTTGACTCAGTCTCATTCATTGTCCTAGTCCATCTGAATGGGCCCCGTTCACCTCCTTGACCCTGCAGTTCCTGTCCTGTTTGGCCATGGCAGGCGTTCCCCTACAGTTTTAGTCTATCTTCACATCCTTAAAGATAGTCCCACCTACAAAAGAGGTTATAGAAGCAAGAGAGGGAAAGGATAAGATAGATGCCTATACACTGTGGAGTTCTCTGAGGAAGCGGGAAGCAGAAATTGATGAAACAAAGACCTTGCTCCAGAATTAACAGAGAAAGTTTTCATGTAGACCCAGCATTCTAAATTTGGATTTCTAGCTCCTAAATGATGAGAAAGTAAATTTCTGCTTGTTAAATATCAACATAATTTTAACTTGTTAAAATACTTGTGGGCTTTCTGTTATACCAGCACTAGACAACCAAGACAGTTCTGAACAACCAGCTACAGCCCTAGCCCTTCACCTGAGTCATTTGCTAAACCTGTGTTTTTCATGAAAAAGTTCTGATCTCCAGTTTAGGTTTTGGATCACTACTGATAGCCCCATTGTGCTTTGTATCTGTCCTGTCCAACCTTCCTTCAGAATGCCTTGGAATAATTGCTCTTTTAGGGAAACTTTCTTAGGTCTTAGTAACAATACCAGTTCCTTTTAACAAAAAATTAATCTTCATGAGCCATCCATCCCAGTATATTAACGTGAATAATTTTTACTATCACATCAATTAAGTATGAACAAACTGGTTAAAAATCTCTTGGTTTTTTTTTCCTCTAATACACATCTGTTAAAGCAAGCAGCCAGTGATACTGCATCTAACTGTATTAAAAAGAGTAGAGGATACTTTGCTGTCTCTACACAGTGGTGTATGTAGTATGACAGAGACACTTAATTTTTGAGTTAAGTCTGTAGTTGTAGACTATTATATTCCTGTCATGATCACAATGTAATAAAAAGCCAAAACATTTTTCTGGACAAGTAGACTCTTTGGGATATCATAGCCATAGACCGTAACTGGAGAAATTTAAGTCTAGATCAAAGAGTAGCCATTGGAGGCCTCTGAGGAAGAGCAGGCTGGAATCCCACCCCTCCTGATAGAGCATAGTCCATAGTGAGTTACCCTGCTAACTCAAGTGCCATACTCCACATTTTTCTTTTTTTCTTTTTTTTCCATTTTATTGTTGGTAAAGATGCACAGTTTCACAAGAAACATTGATTTTTCTCAAATAATAAAAAAGGGTTTGGTTGGTTTTTTTTTTTAAAAAAAAAAAACTATTAGAAGAAAGCAAGTATTTTCAAAAAGCATTGGGACATTTTGATTGGAGGAACCCAGTGAAGTGAAAATCAGATTTATCCAGTTTTAGGAATAACACATGTCTTCTTGTCCAGTTATATAAAGCTCAAATAAGCCATCTCAGCTTAAAACTGGTAGCAAGACTGGCAAATAGTGTTTTGAAGGTCCCGTTTAGTTTGAACCAGAGGTGACTCTCCAGGAGGCTGCATCTGTTTACGGAACTCATCAAACTGCTACTGCTCCAGTTCTGTCTTGACTCTGTTGAGGGCATAGATCTCTGCTCTTTGTTTCCACTCCTGCTACGCTGATTTTTGCTTGGCTTTCTCAACTTTGCTGACAGGTTCTTTAACTATGCGTTTTTCTTTACGTGCTGGTGGGTCCATGGCTGGGCTTCTCAGTACTTCAGTCAGCTCTGAGACGATAGCACAGAAAGAGTCGTAGCTCCGCCCTCTTCAAGTGCAAAATGGCTCAGGAGAGAGGATCCCCAATGGCTAACGGCCCCCAATCAAGGAGCTCAGGAATCTATGGATTTCCCTGCCGTATTTTGGGATTGTGCAGCCTCCACTGCAGTGTACATGAAGGCCCCTCAGAAATACATGCCTTTTCTCTAACTCTGGATGGAGCATTTCGAGCCTGCCCTTCCTATGGCTAGGCCATACCCTCTTGCTGTTTACAGCCTTGGAAACCCGGTAAAAGTCAGCTGTGAGTTCTGACTCTGCAGCAGTTGAGTGTGAGTAGGGACGATCAGATTGCCCCTGATGAAGACTCAGAGAGTCCCTAATGTGTCCTCGCCCATACATCAGCTTACAGGCCTCACTGGTCCCTCAGTTTCTACTACTGAGAATCAATAACTTCTTCAAGCTGGCTGGCTCCATTTTCATCCTCAGGAGTTCCCCTGATAGCCTTTTCTCAGTCTCATTTTACCTTTTCATAACATCTCTTTCCCATCTTGGTGCAAGACGCAGTCATCTGGCCACTTGAGAAACCTTTGCTGGTTCCCACTG